ATTTCATCGTCAGGGTAACCCATGAAATAAGGGGTATTAACCCCATCCTACAGATAAGGAAATAGGAGGTTACATATCCTGTTTCAATTAACAAACACAATTCCAAACTGTGTACCCTTAAATTGCTTGCTGAATGTGTTCCGTCTTCTATGGAGGTGGAAGACTGGACCCCCACACCAATCAAGAATGAGGAGCTGTGCTGGCTTCAGGAGCACCTACTCTAGAATTGGAACGATACAGGGAAGATTAGCGTGGCCCTGTGCAAGGATAGCACTCAAGAATGAGGATACAGGACAGGCACAGTGGCTCACACCTGTAATCCCAGGACTCTGGGAAGCTGCTAGGAAGTTTGCTTAAGGCCAGCAGTTCAAAACCAGCCTTATAAGAGCAAGATCCTGTCTTGACCAAATATTAGCAGGACATTGTGGTGGACACCTATAGTCCTAGCTACTCAGGAGGCTGAAGCAGGAGGATCACTTGAGCCCAGGAATTTGAGGCTGCAGTGAGCTATGATGATACCACTGCTCTCTAGCCAGGGTGACAGATAAAGACCCTGTTTCAATAAAAACAAGCAAACAAAAAAAGAATGAAGAGAAGCCACAGGAGAGAGGACAGGAAGCACTCACAGCAGGACGTGTAATTCCTCCAGCCGGTCACCATGATCCCCTGAGTCTGGCAGGTGCTGGCGTAGTTCTGCAGCCAGTTGCAGGCGGTCTGCACCGCGCCCCCATCGATGCAGGAGTCAAACAGGCAGTTCTTGTAGAAGAAGGCGGGGTTGACCTTGCTGTGGCACTTGGAGAAGCCGGCGTTCTGGTTGGGGATCAGGCCACACAGCTGCTGCACCTTGGAGAAACCTTCTACCTTGGCACAGGAGGGACAGCGGTCCCCACAGCCCACCTGGCAGAAGGTGTCCCTCTTCACCCAGCTCTGCCCAAACTCATTGACACTCGACGCCAGCAGGCCCATGGGCATCTCCAGGTCGTCGTCGGGGTCGCCATTGTAGCGGCCACACAGGCCATAGGTGCTGTTCTGCATGCTGCGGGGGACCGTGATGGACAGGAAGGTCTTCCAGTCGTACACGACCTTCAGGCCAAAGTCAGTTTCCACCACCACGTGGAAGCCAAAGGAGAAGATGTTTATCTTGCCTTGTCCCAGCTTCAGGGGCAGATAGAGCCGCTCATCATTGATCTGGAAGAGGAGAGAGGAAGTGGAGAAAGACGGTTGGCCTAGAGAGTTCCTGACTCTTCCTTGAATGATTAGTCTCTCGAAAGACAAGTCCCAGGGGCAAGTTTGAGCAGGTTGAATGCAGTCCTGGCACGCAGTGCTGTTTATGTCAGTCAACTACCATTATTAGGATTTGAACAGACTTAAACGCCTATCCTTGGTACACTAATATACCTATTTATTTCAGTGCCTTCTGTTTATGTAGCACTGCTTCCCCCAGGAGTTCAAATTGTTTTCTCCAAGGTAATGAGAGGGTAATAAGAATTCAATTAAAGCTGAAACTAAAATACCCAAACCCACAACTCCTGTGTTTCCATTTCTACCTCCATCCTGGATTTATTTTAGTGCCAATGGATTAGTGTCTTTGGGTTATTTTTTTCTTGAAGGATGACTTTGCTTTGCCGTTGCATCTGCTGGGATGCCACTCTCCACCCAGCAACATCCCTCCTGCCTTCTAGCCCCTGCTCCAGTGTTGCCTCTTCAGTAAGGCAAGATTTTTCCAGCCCGTGCTGAGAAGGAATCACTCCCTCGTCTGGGCACCGGGAGTATGTTGTGTTTACTCCTCTCGTGTTCTCCTCCACCTCTGGCCAAGACCCAGCCTGGGTGCTACTGAAACACACCTCACCGCTGCCTTTGGTTGTGGCTGAGTGTGTGAGCAAGTGTATGGTTGCAGAGAAGGACCTTGCAGGAAGGGAAAGGCTGAAGTCAGGAGGAGAGGAGATGACAGGCAGGCAAGAATCCCACGAAGGCAAAAAGCAAGTTAGCGCAGGTGAAGGGTGGCTGCAGGAAGAGGAAGAGATGCCTCATTCTCTGTGCCTTGAAGAAAGGAGCTGAAGAGGCCGTGACAGCCACTTAAGCGACAGAGTGCATGGAGGGTGGGAGCAGGTGTGAGGTCAGGCCTGGGAGACTCTGACCTGCCCTGAAAGCTCACAGCTAATAAGCTCAAAGCTGTGGGCTCAGAGGCTGATCTACGCCAGCTGGCTTTTCTGCCGAAGTTTCCTTGTATTCTATGTTCCTTGGCTACCTGGTGTCATGCAGGAGGCAATGTCTCGGGGAGGCAATGTAAGTGGATGGAGCAAAAGGCTTGCAAATTCTGTCATTGCCAAGAGAACCCTGAGAAAGGAGTACCCTGGGCTAAGACAGCTCGGCTTCTCCCGCCTCAGGAGCCCCATGACGGCTGCCTCCACCCGGCACCACTGCCCAGAGTCTCTCCCCGTGAGTGAGAAATGGAGGGAGGAGGGAGCTCAGGGACAGGAGGGCCGAGGGAAAGGGACGGTCTGTCTGAAACAGCTGCAGAGCTGGAGGGATGGGGAGGACGCTGCCGAGGAGGATGGGAAGAAGGCTGGGGAAGGGTGTGGGAAGTGTATTTCAAATACTCAAGTATTAGAAATAAGGCAACGTATTAAAGTTTTAGGGGAGAGGTTTTCTTTAAACAATTCTCTAGACATTTCAAGGTACCCCATGCACCCTACAATTTGCACCCCCATAAGTCTTCCCCAGTGTTCACTTTTCCTGGATGCCCACATCTCATTCTCAGCCTAGCAAATGTGCACTTTGAGGGCTTAGCTCTGAATTCTCTCTTCCAGGAAGCCCTCCCTGAAGCTCCTGGGCTAGCTAGGGCAACCCGTCCTCTCTGCTCTCACAGCCCTTCACATTACCCTGACCCTAACTGTTAACACGTCTGTCTCTCCCCTGGACTCTAGGCTCTCATAGGACTGCAGCCGTATTGGATTTATTTTTCTACACCCCAGGGCTGGGCACAGAATAGGCAGCAGTGGAGCTAAACCAAGTCAGAGTGATGCTCAAAACCTCACTCTTCTCTGATGGCTACTGGACTGCAAGTAAGGGATAGAGACACAGGCCTCCAGGCCTGAGCTGAGTCAGACTTGGCTGCCTGGAAGCCTGAGGGTGGTGGCATGAGAAAGGCAATCTGCAGAGCCTGGGCTGCGGCAGCACCCGCCCTGGGGAGAGGCTCCCTTCCATGGCTCGGCCCCACTCCCCTAGATAGCAGGCTAATTTCCAGCTTCCCTTGGCATCATGGATTTTCCCACGTCCTACAGTGCAGCTGAATGCCGAGAAAGGTCAGAGTCACAGAAGGACCCTGCATGTCCCAAGGAATCACTTCCACGTCACCCTCTATTTCTGAGAGCAGCAGCAGTGACCCGTGCTCTGGGCTGTTTTGCCCGGCCCGTTATTTCACACTGTTGCTCTGATGGCCATTATTCTTCAGGCACAGGGAGAGATGGTGACTAATAATAACATCACGGGAAAAACAAATGCAAATCATTGAATAAGCAGATCCTGTGATGCATATTAATAACTCAGAGTAACTGCTAAATCTATCCCCCAAGCCCCAAAGAAAAGAACCTTCAGTGCAGCCTGAACTTGGTCTTCCTGTCAAGGGCTTGAAAGCTACAATGTACTCTGTTGCCAGCTTGAAAACTTAGAACATGCAGGTGACTTAGAAAGAAGGACCCTGACAAGGAGGCCACTTGTCCTTTAATCTATTCCTCTGTGATGCTCGTGCAGGTTGAATTGTGTCTCCCACTGAAAAATATAATGAGGTCTTGACCCCCCATATCTGTGAATGTTGACCTTGGAAGAGGTAATACAGCTAAGGTGAGGTTATCCTGGATTGGGTAGGGCCTAACTCCAATGAATGGTGTCCTTAAACAAAGAGGGAGATTTGGACACCGACAAACAGGGGACACAGAAGAAAGGAGGCCAGGTAAAGACAGAGACAGAGACTGGGGCTATGCTGCCAAAAATCACGGAGCCCCAGGGACTTCCTCCAACCTGGAGAAGCCAGGACAGATTCTCCCCTAGAGCCACAGAGGGAGCATGGCCCTGCCTTCACCTTAACTTTGGACTTCCAGCCTTCAGAGCTGAGAGAGAATAATGTCTACTGTTTTAAGCCATTCAGTTTGTAGAATTTTGTTACAGCAGCCTTAAGAAACTGACACATGCCTTCTCTATCCGCTGCTCTAAGTGAAGGACTCAGCTGTGTGGTTCTCTTGGCTCTTGACATTAGCAGAGTGCATATCTCCTGGAATTAAAGCAGGGCACATGCCTGGAAGGAGAGCCTGCCCAGGACTTAACCCCACAGGGCCAGGGAAGGAGGAGAGTAAGGAATCCCTTACTCTGAAGCAGAGAGAAGGGCCAGGCTGAGAAAAGAATTAGTGTTCGTGAGGATGTACCAGCCTATCTGTGAAAGTAGCTGGGGACAGGTCAGAAAGTTACAAGCGCAGCCTCACGTATCCATAAAGCTGAATGCAAAGAGTGTGTCACGGGGCAGAAAATAAAATGCATAACAATGTAGATGGGGCAGGACCTGTGGACAGATTCTATTTGAAAAGTAAAGAAAAAACCTGAAATGTAGGAAGGTCCAAGAGTGTTAAATGTCAAAAAGACAAGTAACTACATGGAAATTAAAATTCTAAGGGTGGAAAGATCTCAGATCTGGAGAAGAGGACAAATGTGATGTGAGCCACTCGGACAAAATGATCAAGAGATTTGTTTTAACATACAGTGAAAACAGAGGAGAGAGAAGTCATTATGATGGGCAGTTCCAAGTACCCAGACGTTTGCTAGATATCTTATGTGGGTAAAAAGAAAAAAGCATCAGATACGGTCCTAACTTGCCTACGTGGCAATTTAATCTCTCAGACTATTGACATGGTAACTGGCACTGTGATGAAAGTCACAGGAACCTTGGAAGAAAGGGGTCATTCTGTCATCTCATTCATTCACTGGAGTGTCGCCAGGCGCAGGGCACTGTACTTTGATTCAGCCAAAAGATGGATTAGGTATGGTCCCTGCCCTTAAGAAGTCCATGATCGGAATCGAGGGAGTTAGACACGAAGATCATGAAAAAATACAATATGATTAATGCAATAACAGACGCCAGAATAAGCGGTGATGAGACGTGCAGAGGAAAACAATTGGGATTTAGGGTCATAATAGCCAAGAAAGGGAAGAAGAATGGGCACAGTGGGGTTGCTGCCTTCCATGCTAAGAAGGCAGATTCCCCAATAAACACTAAAAGGAAGATAATTCAAGAAGCTCGGGGACCTCTGTTTGTCAGAAAAGGAGGGTGTGAAATCCCAAGGAAGGAAAGAAAACCATATAGGTGCCCGGGGAGCTCTAGTTCACTTTAGTTTACCTCAGGATTTTTAAGAGAGGGCCTATAAGATAAAGAGTCCCCTCAGAGACAGAAAAATTATGGCAGACCTGGGAGAATAATGTCTAAAAGCCAGCCCCCTAACTCAGCTCCCTGGAAAGCCAGCATGCAGGCTGCTAGCTTCCTGTCAGGCTCCAAGACATGGCTGAGGCCTGATGTGCAGAACTTCTCACCCCTTCTACACCTGTCTTCATGGTCAAGTGCTTTGTGGGTGGAAAGTGTGGGTAGGATAAAAAGAGACTGCTAAAGCCGGTGAGCAATGGGATGGAAGGTGAGGCCTGGTGCTCCACGTATGAGACTCATGATTCCCGTGGTACCAACAGGGAGACTGGGAGAGAGGGAGGAGCCCGCACAGGATAGCACTGTGATCTCAAGAAAGGGAAGGGGGCTGCTTGGAACAATAGCACCCCTTAGGGAGGCCTAGTCTGTGCTAGACAGATGTCTTTTGTCACAGATGGAGCAGCCATGCTAGCAAGTGACTGTGCAAAGTCACACAGCGGTTGCCCAGCTGGAATTCTAATCCAGGTCTGCGCTCTCTCCAGCGTGCTCTGCTATGATGGGAAAGCCACCTTTCAAGAGCTAGCCCTGCTGGTATACGATAGTGACAGAAAAATCTGCAGGGCCTCTCTCTGCTGTCAGATACTAAGCTCTTCTTTGGATTCTGGACCCACCTGATCCAGCAAGTCTTTCTTGCTGACCCCTGTCCTGATGTCCCCACCTGAGGTCACTCACCAACACAGTGTGCTTGTAGGCCCGGTGAATCACGATGCTGTAGCCAAATACAGTCACGTCCACCTGCTTGACCCACAAGGCCAGGGATGGGTCCCGGTCCTCATTCTTGGCTGTGATAATGAACTTGGGGAAAGAGTCTGAGCTCGGCCTGCTTCCCGTGGTGCACAGGGTGAGGGAGCAGCTGGTCTGGAAGTCAAAGGGGAAGCCGTCAAAGGTGAGGTAGTGGCCGTAGCCTGAGACGATGCAGGAGGCATCGGTGCGGGGCTGGCAGTAGTACAGGCCACTCTCCTCCATGCAGAACTCATCATCCTTGCAGGGAATGGTCTCACAGTGGACGCTGTTGTCCGTGCCATTGCAATAGCAGAAGATCTGGCAGTCCAGGTCCACCCAGAAGGTCTCATTGGTGGCAAGTTGATGCCCCTCGAAGTTGCAGCCACACTCGCTCCGGGTGACGCACTGGCTGCCCAGCAGGGCATAGCCCTCGTCACACTGACACCCCTCAGAGCAGGTATCCACACAGATGGGGCCCAGGGCCAAGGTCTCACAGGTCTCTGTGCAGGTCACACACTCCTCAAAATGGCTGTTCTCGGGGCATTCCAGAGCTGAGGGTGGTCAAGGAGAAGAAAGGCGTGAGACAAGGACAGAGGTCAGAGATAGAAGTGTGTGTGCATGTGTATGTGTGTACATGTGTGTTCTCCTTGTACAGTGAACACCTCGGACGTTGTGATCTGAGGCTCGGCAAACCCCTCATTCATATGCCGGGGCACTTATCTTTCTTGTAGAAGGCTCTGAGTCTGCAGAGCCAGTGTTGAGCACCTCCGATGTGCCAGGCATTGTCCTAGGCCCTTTGTGTACCACATCTCAACAACCCGGAAAGTCAGAGAAATCTTCTTCTTATCTTATAGGTGGGAAACTGAAGGTCAATGATTTAACTAAATATAACTAGTAAGTGCCAGTGAGGGACTCAAGTCCCATCCTCCGGATGTGAAGACTCTGGAGAAGGAGTGTGGTGAGCCAGAGGAAACAAGTGCTTTGGGGCCAGAGAGACGGGGAGGCTGACTTAACTCTGGCATGTGTTGGAATGTCCCTGAGCTTCAGTCTCCTCTTTCATTACCTAAGAACCACAGTCACCTAGCAAGGTTGTTCTAAAGATTAATAATCTAACACATCAAGTCCATGGTTGGGTCTCAACAAATAGTATGCCCTTTCCCTCCTTATACAAACATGGATGAGTTTTCACTCTACAAACTGACTTGTTTTCTCCCTTCATCTTTCCTGGTGCCCTCTGGTTGGCTGCTCCCCACCCTGGCACATGGTCACCCCCCACCTCCTCTGCTCACTTCCCCTGCCTGGACCATCCACCACAAAGCCAAATCCTACCCACCCCTCAAAGCCCATTTTAGACTGTGTGTCCCCCTGAATCCTTCCTGGGTAGATCAAGTTCCTGAGCCCAAATGCACAGCACACACCAAGTTCTCAGCCTGTACTGCTCACCGTGGAGCTCTGGGTAAGCGTCTCATTTCTCTCTGTTACCCTGATTGCTCACAATTTGACAGCGGCACAGGGGAAATCCCCTACGAGTCTGAGATCTGAGGAAGGTCTTCTGGGAAAATAAGATCTCTGCTCTAAAACTTTCTTGGGCTCTACGCATACCATCAGGTCTTAATGGTGTTTTACAATGCAAGGACATAAAGGACACTACAGAGAAATAAATTGCACGGCAATAATAGCTCTGCCCACAAGTACCAACTCCACAGTTCTGCTCTGCATACTGGCAGCCAATCTTTTTTTCCTCTGGGCTGAAGGACTATCTCCTTTGGAGTTGAAGGCTAGTTCAGCATGGATTATATATGTCCATCTATAGGAATTTTCACATTTGTCTCTAAATTATGAATGTTCTAATACCGAGTACAGATTTATGATGATAGCAAATAACACAACTTATTTAAATGGCTCTCCCTGTATGACTTACGGTGTTGTCTGAATTTGTCTGAAAGTCTGGAACATACAGACGTGGAATAATAAAACTTCCCGTGGGCCCAGAAATGCCTCTGTGAAATTACTTAATTGGGCAGCCTGGCTCTGCCCATGGAGGGCTGGTTAAAAATATCTGAACAGAGAAGCCGTGGTTGTCTCTCTCTAGGTTCAAAGAAGACTGTGTTCCTGAAATGCAGCTGTGACCCAGTCCGGTCCCCATTCTGCAAGACCCTGACCAGATGAATCTCTCGGTACCTGGAGATGTGATTGGTCAAGTGTGCACACACCAGTCCTTGCCAGACACAGTATACAAGGTCTGCACAGGACATCCTGGGGGCTGTCTCAAGTGGGAGCCCTGGCCCTCTGCCCAAGGAAGCCATGTCCCACATGGCTGCTTCTGCCCACATCTTTCTCTAAAAAAGGCCCTTATAAGAGCTTCCTTTAGCTGTGCTGGCCCAGAGGAGGGATTCTCAGTAACCATCACGTGTGGGCAGAGAGGGAGCACCACCATCACGCCCGCTAAGCTGGCACACACAGTGTCACCAAACTGCCCCATTCAGTACAAAACAATCCAGAAACATTCCCCGTCAGGCAGCAGTCTAACAGGACGGCAGCGACGTGGCCTAGCAACAGAACAGATTTGGTATAGGGGAGACTCAGTAATCCTGTACCGTGAATGACACGCAACTAGAAAGCATGGCATGGGTGCAGGACCAGAAACAGTGTTGGGTACGTTGGAGATGGGATAAAAGAGCATGCTGGGGGGTGGATCTCAAAAGGCTCTGGGTGCTCGCTTCAGCAGCACACGTACTAAAATTGGAATGCTACAGAGATTGGCATGGCCCCTGCGCAAGGATGACTCGCAAATTCGTGAAGCATTCCATATTTTAAAAATAAATAAATAAAAAGGCTTTGGGAAAGTATTATGAGGTCCCATAGACATATGGCCACTAGAAACTGGGGAGTGTTCCTGCTATAGGTGACTTTAGGAAAGCTAAATTCCAGCTTTGGGGGCACAGTACCTGCTATGAGTCCCTCCCCAGGGCAGGGAGGGTTCACCAGGGATTTGACTGCCCTTCTCTGAGATGACAGGCACCAACCCCTCTACTTGGTCCTCAGACTCCCCAAGCTCAGAAATGAGAGGTTTAAAAAGATGTACGCACACGTGTGTTTTTTAGTTATGAGCTCTGCCTATTCAAAGTGCCTAGAGGCAAAGCCAGGAGACCTGAGATCAGTGGGTACAACTTGCCCAGAGCTTGTTTTATAATAACAGCCCCCACCAAAAGGAACAAGGGCCTCTCTGAGTAATGGCTGAGTCCAGCCTGGGGCTGGGAAGATTAAGAAATGAGTGTGGAGCATCTTGTTATCTCCCGAACTAAGAAAGGGCTTTAAAAAAATGATGGCGGTGTGAGAAAGGGGCACAGCGGGCAGTCTGAAGGGGCTCCCACAGGCCAAAGCTGGGACAATTTTAACACAAAAAATAACTAACACATGTAATATGAAATCTAAACCACTGGACAAAATAGGAATCCATGATAAGATGATTGACAGGCAGAGAGACAGACAGACACCTAGATAGGTAGATCACCAGACAGACAGAAGGAAAGGACGCTTGTCACACAGTGACCATAGCTGACTGGCAAAGGAGGAGGATGGGCCAGAGGCAGAAACCGCCAGTCTGTAATCCTCACAGGAGAGATGGATACATGAAATAATCAACAATGCCGATAAATCAAGGAGGGGGGCTTAGAGGAAGAGCCGGATATTTGCGTGATCTTAAACCGTCTCCCCACGGATTGCTTATTAATTGCAAGGGGAAAAACACAGCAGCCGACAGCAGAGATGCTGGACAACACCCTGCCCAGGGGATCACTGTGCATGTGGCCCACAAACGGTGCTTGGCAGCACCTGGGCTGTGAGGCCACGAGAACACCACGTGTCCCCTGCACGAGTGGCTGTGTGAGGGTGTGCAGCTGACGCTTATCGAGAGGAAGCAGCAGGACCAAACGGAGGGCCATGCCATTGTAAAAAGGAGGAGGCTGTATTCTTCAAAAATGGCAGTGTCATAAAAGGCAAAGACAACTGAAGAGTCGTTCCAGGTGTGACAATGAAGTGCAGCATGCAGCCCTAGACTAGGTCGGCAGTAAGGCCACCAAAAACAAAAGGCCGCTTGACGCTACTGAGTCAAGTGACAAAATTGGGAGATGGATGTAAAATTGTTGTGTCAATGTTACATTTCCTACAGCCGGTAACTGTACTGTGGCTACGTAAGTGATAGCCCTTATTCTAAGGGGAGACACAGTCCGTATTTAGGGGTAAAAGGCGTGATGTCGGAGACTCACTCCCCAGTAGAAGGTGGAAAGGAAGAAGCGGAGGAAGACACAGGGGAGGGAATGATAGAGAGAAGAGAGAAAATGTTACCAAGAGGTCAGTCCGGGTAATGGGCATACAAATTTCTTCTATGGAATTTTGAAATTATTTCAAAATAAAAAGTTTGAAAAACAAATAAATGCAGATGGGAAGAAATACAGCAGAAGACAGATGAACAGAGGCAGGGAAGAGAACTTTCATGGTGGTGATGGTTTTTCATATCATTCCTCCCTGTGGCCTCCTCCATACCCAAGGGTGTTACATATCAGGTCTTCCCAGCAATTATTCTAATTACTACTAGTAATGCCAAGCCCTGCTGAGAGGTCAGATACTCTGGGGACAAAACAAAACCCAGCAAAACAATACGCTCTTCATACTCATTGTCAGCTCTGTCCCAGGGAGCAGCGCTAATCTCTATACCCTGAAAGGCACCCCAAGTGATCACTGCCTATTGACCTGAATGGGGCCCTTCTTTGCCAAGGGAAAGGCTATCACAAACTTCTAGTTCTTTGACCCAGTGGTGCCTGTCCCCTCTGCCAAATAAAACCTCAAGTCAACCTGGTGACTTGGTGGCTAATTGTTCTACATGAAAATGGATTGTGCAATTAGAAACAAAAAGACTCAAGCCATTCTCAGTATGGGCACTCTACCCAGGGTGACAAGATGAGAATCTGTCTCAAAAAGAAAAGAAAGGTGAGAAAAGGCCTGGACGGGTCTCCATGCCAGAGGGCACCTCTACCTAGGGAAGGTGCACAGCGAAATTACATCGCCCTGTGCTCCATCCCACCTGGAGAGGGAGTGCTGAGTAAAAGGGTCCAATGTGGCCCCTATGTCCCCACCCCACCAGGGCCCCAACTTACGGCAGAATTCATAGGTCCGCCAGGGCCCCACCTCCACGTCGGCATTCTTGCAAGCACTGGCATACCGGGCCACGGCGTCGCAGAGCTCTGACTCGTTGCCACCACTCTGGCACAGGCGGAAAAGGCAGGTACGGTAGTAGGCGGTGACGTTGACCACTCCGTGGCACTCCAGGAAGGAGCTGTTGGAGGGGTCGTTGATGATGCCGCACCTGGAGCGGCTCCGGTAGAACTTGAGCAGCTCCGAGTCGTTGTTGCAGGCCTTCAGCAGGTCCCCGCACTCCCCATTACAGATCTCCTCGAAAGTGGTCCAGCTTTCCAGGAACACCGCCAGGTTGTCCGTGCACTTGCCATTGGGGAGGCAGAACTCGTCACTGGCGTTGGCATTAAAGAAGCCGCACAAGCCCCCGGTGCAATTGAAGTAAGCGGTGGACAGCCGGATGTACAGCAGACCGGCATCTGAGTACTGCACCGCCACCACGCCCTTGGACTCCACCGTCGTGCTATTCTTGTTTCGATAAATTTCCAGCTTCCCCGAAGGATGGAAAAAAGGCAACTCCACTTCCTGACCATTCAGCTGAAAAATCAAATCACCCTCCTCAATTCCAGAGACGCACAGAGTGCCCACCATTTCCCAGGCTATGGACCGAAGGCGTGTCTGTGCCCTATGACTGGCCCTTTGGGAAATACAACACAGATACCAACTGTTTTTTTAAAACACCAATTATTCTTTCCTGGGCTTCTTTGTTTCTTTCTCTTGGGACATCCCTGATCCGACCCATTTGTGCTCTTTATCTATCTAGACCCTAAGCTAACCCCAAACAAACAAAACTGAAACGGTAGCAAAGCTCGTCTTAGATACACAGCTTCCTCCAGCCCCCCGACATCTCCGCTCAGTGCCTTTTGCAAATGGATCCCCTTCTTCTCCACCTTTTGGGATCCTTCTTCCCCTTTCCCATCTTACTTTTCCTGTGTTCCAGCTTGTTGGGGGCTGAGAGCGTGGATGTGGCTAATGATCTAGCTGTCCACCCACCTATCTGCCTCCTACTAGCCTTATTATAAGTTAATCTCTTCCAGTGCGGCAGTGGGAATGGAAACAGCCCTTTTGGTTTGTGATGTGTATTTTACAATCTCCTTGGATGGCAATGTGTTGAATTTTGTTTTCTAAACTAGACTTCCTGTGATACATGTTGCCGCTGGGAGTAGGGGATTCCCCTCCCCCACAGCCTAGCTCTGCCACAATGCACAGCAGGACCCTCACTCAGCCCTGTGGGACCTTCATGTGAAAACAGGGGGCTGCACTAGCTGAGTCCCAGGGGTCCTTCTAGAACTAATGATCTATGCATCTGGATGCCTACTGATGGGTTTTTCAGAGCTTGTCAGAGGAGTGGGAACCACCACAGCAGGCACCCCCTACGTCACCCCATGTAGACTGCCATCTGCAGGTATGAGAGTTAGTACAGCACAAGGGTTAAGAGCACAGATCCTGGAGCCGACCTGCCTGGGCTTGAATCCACTTCCTGGCTGTGTGTCCCTGGGAAAGTTACTTAACCTCTCTGTGCCTCAGTATTCTCACCTGTAAAATGAGGCTCATAAGACTAAGGGTGACACTGCTTATGAAGGGCTTAGAATAGTGCTTGGCACGCAGCAAGAGTTCCATAAGTTATGTGCTATCATGGAGAGCTAGTCTTGCTCTATCCATCTAACGGGGGAAATCCAGCTTCACTCCACTTCTCCGCCTCACAGAGTCTAAGTGGGCGCCGATTGTTAGCAAACGGTTTCGCTCTGGAGCCACCTCCTTCTTAGAATCCGCTCACAGGCAGAGGCAGAAAGGCCAACCTGAAGAGAAAGGCAAACTCTGGCTCCTTGGCTCGGCGCGACTCAGCAGAAAACCCTCCGGGGAAGAAGGAGTCTTACCTTGACCTCCGCCGCCCCGACTCCTCCGACCTTGACCTCCTGCTCAGCCACCAGGATGCGGACTCCGCGCAGCCACTCCGGCCCAGCGTCGGGCTTCTTCTTGTTGATGTCGATTTCTAAGTACTCCGGGCGCTCGGGGCAGGTCTTGAGGAGGGTGTAGGAGAACTCGGACGGGAAGGCGTAGGCGGCGCCGTCGAAGGTGTGCAGCACCTGGTTCTGGCTGAGCAGACACACAGTCTCGCGCTTGGGGAAGCAGCCCTGGTAGCCGTCCTCCACCGCGCACACCTCCCCGCTGCGGCACGTCTTGTTGAAGCAGTACACGTCCCCGCCCTCCTCGCATAGGCACTGCACCGTGCAGTTGGCCGTGGCCCAGAAGAACTCCCCCATGGTGTAGTAGTGGCCGTCGAAGTCGCAGCCGCACTTGTGCAGCGGGACGCACTGGCTGGTGCTGAGCACGAAGCCATCATTGCACTCGCAGCCCTCTGTGCAGGGCGTGGCGCAGTTCTGCGAGGCCGTCAGGTCTGAGCACGTGTCCGGGCAGCTGCTGGTGCACACTGAATAGTGGCTGAAGCTCGGGCACTGCACGGTGGACACTGACGCGGGAAGGGAAGAGAGCGCGACAACAAGGTGAACGGACCCCAAGTGCTAAGCGGCCCGAATCCAGCCAGCACAGGGGCCAGGAGAAAGAGCGCCCCCTTTTGGACCATTTAGCTCCTACAGCGAGGGCCAGGCGGCCGCTCACTGGGGAAGAGAGACCTTTGGGGCACCGGTAAAGTGCAGGCCAACTGCTCTCCTGGTGACTACTGAGCAACGTGGCTGCACTGTGAACTTTCGTTCGACTTTGCTCCCTTGGCTGAAATTAAACTTCCCGTTGCTGTCCTTGCTACGCTACTGATTACTCAATATAGGTTTATTATTTAGTGATCTACAACCCTCGAGAACTTTTAGGAGCTTCAACTGATGGACATATAAATGGATCTGATTTTTAAAGAGCGTGGCCCATTCTTAAAAGGAAATAAATCCAACTTCCAGGAGAAGTGAAAAATGTAACCATTAGAGGAGTAATTTGAAAACGTGAAATTTCTAACAGGGAGGTACTTAAAATACCTAAGCGTGACCAAGGAAGGCTGCTGGGGAATGAATTCCCTGGGATATTAAAAATAAGAAGGAACTCTGGGTATCTGCAAAGAATTTCTGTGCCTGTTTCTCCGGAAGACTGCATCAGAATAAGATGTCTTCTGAAGGCCCTTCTGGCCTTAGAAACTTTCCAATTCTTAGTGTAAGTACATCTGAGACTATATTAAGAGCATGAGTCTGGCTGAATCCAATAGGCAGGGGTTCAGGGGCCTAGCAAGCTACCTCCCTGAATTATTTCCATCCCACTAAAAGGAGAGAAATGTGGAAGATGGAAAAGGGGGTATTCATAGGTCAAATGTCAGTTAGACAATTTGGATAAGGATCAAAGGGAAGCTGGGTTCATTTTCAATTAGAGTAAAAATATGGATGTGTTGCCATCATAGAGGCTGGACAATCACACAGCATGAAAAATAGACTGTGGCTTAGTCATTTGGCCAGTACTCTAAGAATCGAATCTGATACATGATGATTTACTGAATCCAACCTATACTTCTAGGAAGAAATCCCCCGCTGGCCTTGGAACCTACAGAAACTTTTTTTTTTTTCCAATTTTTGGCCGGGGCCGGGTTTGAATCCACCACCTCCGGTACATGGGGCCGGCGCCCTCCTCTTTGAGCCACAGGTGCCACCCTTTACAGAAACTTTTCAATCTGCTCACCCCTGGAGCACTCAAATGCATGGGTTACCATTTTCTATTTACTCATATGGAGAAAACCAAGGACCCGGAAGGAAACAAAATCCATTTGTTTGGTTTTGAATTTTACATAATAGGAGGAGAAAAAGAGGCTTAAGTGGGGTAGAGGTAAAAATAGACACAAGTGGTACAAAATGCTTAATCTGAAAGTATAGTTCAAAAGAGCCTGGCTCTTCCCCAAAGCTTGGGCTTTTCCTAACCATTCTTCACATTCATTTCAGAAAAAAAGGGGCTCCTTTCTTGGTATACCATACCCTGCAGCCCTTTCTTTGACCAGCAGCAGTGGGCCACAAACCCTACAGGGTCTCAAGGAGAAGAAAGGGCCAGGGGGCAATTGTGGTAGGTTCAGTCTGGGAGGCGAACTATTTTCCCAAAGGCTGATTCTCATAAGCCAGGCCAGTGACTGCATTTACTCAACAGCCACAGAGCCAGTCACCTGGCTCTGTTAACCCCCCATCCTTGCTCAACTCTGGGCTTGCCGTCCCCTGCTATGGGGAGGGGCTTCCTCCAGCCAAGCCTTTCCTGCACACATTCCATGTTTCCAGACCACTGATGCTCACCAATGGGTTCTTGTTTCCTTTCTAAGATATTGGGTGGGGAGCAAAATAAAGATCCTTTTACAGTTTATGATATTTCAACCTCCCCCTCACTCTCGGGCTGCAGGCTTTAACAAGGACATTGGCAGGAGCACTGGAAGCCTATCTCCTGCCCCCCGTGCAGGGGCAGCCTTTCCTACGGACGGGACACCAGCTTACCACACCCAGTCTGGATTCGCCAGTCTCCAATTGGAATGCCCAGGCCTTGGCACACGAGGGCGTAGGCCTGGATGGCTTGACAGAGGAGTGTGCCATTGTCCCTCACGCTGCACAGGTCGTACACACAGCTGTGGACAAAAGCCGTGGGGTCCACGACAGTGCTGCACTCCCACAGGGGGCCATCCGTCTTGTTGAGGAAGCCGCAGTAGTCAGAGCCAAAGTAGAGGGCTTCCGTGGTGGCATCACACAGAGTGCAGTTGTCCACACAGCCGGAGTCACACTTCCAGTCCGCGTGGTAGACTCTCCAGCTCTCTCCCAGATCCAGGACGGACATGGCCGGCCTGCCATCCGGACGGAGGAAGTCATCCAGCGGGTTTTTATTGTAGTTCCCACAGAGCCCACAGGTGGAGTTTAAATAGGAGCCTGGGATGGAAATGGAGGCGTAGTGCTGGCCATCAAAAGTCACTAAGAGCCCAAAATCTGTTTCCACGGCAGTAGACATGCCACTCTGGTAGATTTTCACCGCCCCCAACTCTAAGGTGACGGGCAAAGAAGTCACCAGGTCATTAACCTGCCAACAACAGTAATAGTGAAAGGCAGGTAAGCACGGGCCCAGCAATGGGTTCCAGCAGAAGTCAGGAAGGGAGGGCAGAGCAACTGCCTGCCAGAGAGAATGGCTACCCAGTATGTCCAGGCTCCAGGGGGCTTACCTCTTACTATGGAAAGGACTGAGACAATTCTGGTGAGCAAGCTGGTTGTGGGCCAGCCTAAGCACTGTGCATTTGGGCTGAGATAGCTGCGGCATTTCTAGCACAATTACTTCCTCTACGGGGTCATCAGCTCTTCCTGGCCAGTTCTGGCTAGCTTCCAGTCTTTTATTCAAAGACTGGACACCTCTCTTTCCCTCCTTATTCCTCCAAATACCCATTCTTTAAGTCTCAGCTTTAGTCACATGCTTTCCCTGACCCCTTCAAGACCCTTACGCCCCCTCCCGTCCCTCCTCCAGCTGGAAGGTGGGCTCTGTCTACTGTCGGACACAGTTCAGCTTTGAGGCCGCCCTGTTGCACTCTTCTCTGGTTTTACCCTGTTACAGCCTCATACCAGGTCTATGTCATGTAATCACTGAACAACAACAAATCTGAACACCTGGTAGGTACCAAGCACTATGTCAGGAGCTGAGAAGTGAAGGATTAAGACACATAATTGCCTCTGCCCCTCCAGGAGGTCCCTGTCTACTAAAGAAGTCTACACAGATATTTCGGGTATACTGTTTTAAACATGAGTCAATAGATGACGCAGTGAGAGAACAAAACTAACATTTAATCCAGCCTGGGGGAATCACCCCACACGGACTCACAGAGGCCGCTGAATCTGATCTGGGTCTTCAAGAGTAAACAGCAGTGGCTAAAGGAAGGGGAGGGGGGCAAAGAATTCTAGGAGAAGAAAATAAAGGCAAAGGGCGGCACCTGTGGCTCAAAGGAGCAGGGCACCCGCCCCATAGGCTGGAGGTGGCAGGTTCAAACCCAGCCCCGGCCAAAAACCGCAAAATAATAATAATAATAAAGGCAGGGCGGGGGCTTGGAAACACCTGTACAGGTTGAGGGGCAGTCAGCAGGGTAGCAGTGGGCTGCAGAGGGCAGGAGTGGCTGGAAATGAAACTGGAGACACAGTCAAGGTCTATTCATTCTGCAAATACCTAATTAGACCTTTTTATGTGCTAAGCACTGTTCTAAGTGTTGGAGATTGGCAATGAGTGAAATAGGCAAAAATTCCTCAGGGAACTTATATTTTATTGTAGCTGAGTAGACCAACAACTAAGAAAATAAATGAGTGAAATATTTATGTCAGACAAGTGTTAACTCAGGAAATGCTAAAAAAAAAAAGGACCAAGGGAAAGTAGTTCTAGTTTTAAATAGGATGGCCAGGGAAGGCCTCCCTGGGAAGGGGACATCTGAAATGAGGACTAAGCCATGCTGTTAACTCGGGTGGAGTGGCTCACAATGAGGGAGCAGAGGACCTTCAGGTGGGATCGTACCTGGTGCTCCTATGGACTGCAGGGTAGGAGAGAGAGTGTGGCTGGAGCATTGACCACAGAGGGCAGTGGTCAATGATGCCAGAGAGAACAACCGTCAGAACAGAACAGTAGGGCCAGTCAGCCACGGTAAAGACATTGGCCTCTGCAGCCAGAGAGGGAGAGCCCAGGGAGTGTTTAGAGCAAGGGCTCAGCACTACCTGACTTTTGCTTTAAAAGAACAGCTCTGGCCTCTATAATGAAAACAGATCTTGGATCGCTTTTTAAGCCATGTTAAAAAGAAAACAAACCAAAACTCAGTTTCCTATTCTGTAGGGAGAGCCCCTGAAGGCTTTTAAGCAAGGGAATGACATAGTCGGATTTACATTTTAGAAATTCCATTCTGTCCAGCATGAAAGATTTATTGAAGTATGTCAAGGTTAGAAGCAGAGAAACCAGACAGGACACTGCCACAGAAGTCCTGAGGGGCACTGAGGGTGAGGGCCAGACTAGACACAGACACCAGAAGGGAGGGACAAGTGTCTATGGAGGACACTCAGCTGGGCCTGGTTGGTTTTGCACTGGGGAATAAGAAATAGGGGAAGGATCAGGAGTAAAACTGGGTATCTAGGTCTCATGAGTAATGGCCTGATAAGCCTCTGAGAGTGGATTTTGCTTTTCATACTTACAATGCTAAACACCTATAGACACTCACATGTTGGTCTGGAATGGAAGGACTAGTCTCAGAACAGCCCTCAGCAGGGCTTAACTGTAAGTATACATAAGCTGTCCTGGCCCCATTCTTGTTTCTGGCCCATGGAGAAAAACAAGAGTCTTACCTGGCAACACTGTTGCTAAATTCTGAGCTGTTTAGGAAATGAGAGAATAGACTGTCCATTGCTCCTGAGATTGACCATGGCAGATGCCACTGTGCCTCTCTTGTCTCTAGAGATTAGCAGTTGGCCTCACCAGAGTCACCCCTAATCATCTGGTCATGGTACTATAGGCTTTTGCTATCTGTACCTCTAAACTCTTCCAGCCTCTATCATAACTCTTCTATTACCCAGTTCCAAAGCTGCTACCGCATTTTAAGGCATTTATTACAGTAACACCCCACTCCTGGTGCCAGTATTCTGTTTTTGTTTGGGGTGCTGTAATAAAATGCCATAAACTAGATGAGTTATAAAGCACAGAAATTTATTCTCACAATTCTAGAGCCTGGGAAGTCCAAGGTCAAGGTGCTGGCAGATTCGGTGTCTGGTAAGGGCCAAGTATCTGCTTCATAAATGGCCCCATCTAGCTGCATTCACACACGGCAGATGTAGCAAATGAGCTCCCTCTAGCTTTTTAGTAAGGCACTAATCCCGTTCATGAGGGCGCTACCCTCACAACCTGAACAACTTCCCAAGGCCTGGCCTCCTAATACTGTTACCTTGGGAGTTAGGATCCCAACCTATGGCCTCTAGGAGGCATAAACATTCAAATCATAAGCAATAGGGGGAAGGGGATAAGAAAAATAGGCTTGAGAAACAAATCATCCTGTGAGAGCCAAAAGGAATTGATTAATTCATTCTCATCAGCTAGGCAGAGGATTAGCCAACAAGGGTAAGAAAGCCATATTAAAAGGAAGGTCAGCTGGCGAGAGGACTGAACAATTATTACCCGCTGTTCTGTGCTAGCATGTAGAAAGGGAGGTCTTTCCCAAGGTGGGCGTAATGTCAAGTACATCAATTGCTGAGTGTGTTTTCCTGCTCTTACTTAAAGGGCAAAGTTATGTGTCCCAGAGCAGAAGCCAGGGGTTGGCTGGCTCCGGATAGTTCAACAGTCCCCCTGGTTGAATACATGTCTTTTTGTCCCCTGCAGGCTAGCCTTATACCTGGGTGACTGGTATCTTTCTTCTGGCCTAAAGGTTCCTGGCACCTCCTTTCACTTTCACACACTATTGTCATTGTGCCCTGCAGAGTTCAGGGCGTGAGCTCCAGGGGAACTGCCCTGACACAGCCCTGGCTTAGCCAATGGCTGGTGGACCTCACCTCTTTGCTTTCCGGTCCTCTCTCTGCGTTCTAGCCACTTCCCTTTTCAGCAGTGTCTATCTGAGGCTGTCATCAGGGGCACAGGAAGGAGAGGACGCAGAATGGCAGAAGCCAGGTCTTAGAACTGGAGGGAAGCTCCATGGGCCACATGGAACCAGCATGTGCCGAGTGCCTACTGTGTGCCAGGCTTGGTGCGAGACACAGCATGCGTGGCTATTCCATTTAATTCTCAGGACAGCCTCGGAAAGACCTTATCATCTTCCCCTTTCACAGGTGAGGAAATTAAGGATCAGGGCTGGTGTGACCTGACTTCCCACTGGCCAGGCTCCAAAAGTTCCCTGCTGCCTCCATGCCAGTGCTGAGTAGAGGCAGCCAAGGCCGGGCTACAGTCCAGGGGCCTGCCTCCTAGATGGGGCTACCCCAATTTTACAGCAAAGGAAAGTTGAAGAGACCCCATGCCTGGCTGTGGAGACGCAGGGGTTTGGGCAGCCGACCCTAGAACCTGAGCTCTTCAGTAGGCTCTTCAATATGCTAGTTGACCATGTCCCCCTTTCCAGCAGAGCACCCTAAACTACTGGGTTCATTTTAGGGGAGAACATAAGTATAGGTAAGTATCAGCTAGAAAGAGATGTTTCTTATATGTGGGTTCTTAGTGATGCTGGCTTTCTTAGCTTATATAATCCTAAATTATTTATTCTGCTGTTTGAAAACAGTTCATGGGGGCTGGGAAATCCATACACAGAACATAATTCCTGACCCCAGCGTATGGAAATGGGGTTGGAGAAGGTCCTGTGGCTGGGAAGAACAGCTCTTTAGTGACCATTTGTGGCCTGGCACCTTATGGCTGAAGAAGTCAGCTCCTCCCAGGCATCTTGGGCTCCTTCCTGCTCCCCAGCCCTCTCCCTGCCTGTCCCCACATCGCCCCGGGCTGCTGTCTACTGAGCCACTCTCCCCACCAGAGCAGGTGTATTCAGAGATGCTTGGAAACCATTTGGCAAAAGGAAAAGGAAGACATTGTTAGCTTGCAGTTGGAGTCACATAACCTTTTCTTTCCGAAACATTTACATTCACATCCACATCTCCCCGTCGCTGCAGAAAATTGAGGAATGCGTGCCCTACGCTTGGACGATGGAACACAGCCACGCAAAATTAGCAGAGCTGCTGCGCCTGAAAGAAATGACGGTGTCCTTTTCTTTCTTGAAAAAAAAAAAAGTCTGACTATGAGCAGAAAAGAATTTTAATCAAAATAGAAAGTAGGAAGAAAGCATGAAGCTTTCTTTTTCAACTACTGATATCATACCATCAGCCTCACAATACAGCAAGCACGAGGAAGCTAGTGAAAAATCCTCCTAGCCGGAGATGCCAGCATCTATCTCTAAGGATAAGTATGGTGTTCAGCAGCACAATATACATTTAAAAGGGAAAAACTCCCAATGTTTGTAGCTGAACTCTCAGGTTTGATTTGATATACAGAGCTGTCCCTGGAGAGAACTAAGCAAATAACAAGCAAATTGGCATTTCAACCACGGTAATAGCTCACTTTCCTCATTATGAGACTGATGAACGGCACAGACTTGGAAAAGGCAGAGCCAGAAAAAATAGAATTAGTTCCCTGGTCGTGCCTTTGTTTGGATGTGCTACATCAATTAAAACTACAATGCCTTAAAAAGAGAGAGAGAGAGAGGGGGGAAGAGAAAAAGAAACCCCTGAATTGGCATCACTTCTGATTTGTAATCTCTGTAACGACCTCCATGCACGGGGGTTAACAACTGCACGGGGTTGCAGCAATCAACCCCACGTGGGCCTGGTTATTCTTGCTTGAGTAAATACATGGTGGCAACAAGGCCTTCATTAACATTATGAAAATTGTGGTCTCCACAAATTGAGTAATTGCTAGTGGCTTTTTGCTCTCCCTCTTTTGTTGATGTCCCTGCTTGAAATCCAGGTGGACAGTGACAGGAATCATTTGCATATGCTAAACAGGCTAGCAGAGACCCGTGATCTCTGTCATTCTAAGCAGGAGTGTGTCTGTGTGTGTGTGTGTTGGGGGCGGGGGGTTCTGTCTGAGGAGTGTCTAGGCAAAGCTTTCACAGACTGTTCCACCCTGCAGCCTTCACTGAGGAAGTCACCCAGGCCACCCCAGGTGTCTACCCGGGTGATACCTCTGGAGACATCAATCATTTTGGAGGTTTCTCTGAAAATGAAGCGGCAGCTCTTGGGCAAACAGAATGGAGGTGAGGATTGTTAATCAAAAGCTGTATTGAATTAGGGGTTTATACTTTGTGCTTGCACCGTGTCCATGGCTGTGTGGCTACAACTATTGCAAGCTAAGGTCATGAGAAACTAAACTTACCTCATGTGTGTGTGTGTGTGTACCCGCGTTTATGAGGGAATTAGTAATATAAATGTACTCTAAGTTGAAAAGCAGATAGGCATGTTGTGGAGAGCGCTTAGGGTAGCTCTTGCATCAGTAAAACTTAGCCCTGTAAAATGTTTTATAAGCTATTTGCAAGGCAGGGAGAACCACGCATCTCTTTGGTACTGTCAAGAGACAAACAGCAGCACCAGCAGAGCTGAGGGAATCTTCCCCCACTGAAGACTCTCCAGCTTCTCCATCTCCCCATGAAGGACGGAGAGGGTCTCACCTGGACTTTTCCGTAGCTCCCTTTGGGGATGAGAATCTTGTAGCCATTGACCTCCACCGAGAGCTCCTTCACCCAGGAGACAGCTGAGCCCCCTCGGTGCTCGTTCTTGGCCTCCACGCTGAAGAAGGGGAGGCTGGAAGTCTGCAAACACTGTCGGGCCAACAGGTAGGCGCAGGATCCTTGGAAGTGGAAGAGGAAGCCATCGAAGGTGTGGTAGTGCGGCTCCCCAAACACCACGCACGTGCTGGTCTCCACGGGGCTGCAGTAGAAGAATTTGCCTTTGGGCTCACACACCTCGTAGGGGCTGCAGGAGGCCTCCTGGCAGTAGATCTCATTGTTGAAATCCAGGCAGCGGCACTTGATGGTGCAGTTCAGGTCATCCCAAAACACCTCCCCTCGCCGAAGGAACTGTCCTGGGGAATAATGACATCAGAGCCAACATTTACTGAGCACTCCTCCTCCGCGCTGGGCTTTCCTCCCATCAGACCATTTAATCCCCACAAGAACCCTCGTAGGTGGGGATTGTCACCCTCATTTGACAAGTAAGGAAACTGAGGCTTAAGAGGAGGTGAGTCATTCATCCAAGATCACTCAGAAACTCAGTGGTGAGGCCAGAATTCCGAGCCGAGTCGGTCTGAATCCAGTCTAAGCCTTTGGCATTTTTGTCTCCACATCTGGCGAGCAAAACCACAGTCAAGGAAAGACACATCATCTCAATGCACGGGAAAGGCTATGACACTCAGGAGGCATTTCCTTCCTTTCAGGAATATGATGCAGGGTATTCGGGAAGAAGACCCAGTTTACCCAGGTAACTCAGCAACACTTTATTTGCTGATTTGCTCATTCATCCAACAGACATTTGTGTGTTGGGGACCCGGTATGTGCCAGGAAAGGACAGCAGCAGAAAACAGGAGTCAGATACCCAGGTGTAAATCCAAACTCCCTGGGAAGATTCTGGAAAGGGCTGACCATCTGCTCGGCACTTACAAAGGCTCAGGAATCCTATAGATGCTGCCCAGGCAGGATTTACCTCCATAAGTTTTCTTCCCTTGGGCCCACTGTTAGGCCCTGTCCAAGTCCAGCATCCTCTCTCTTTACCCACTGGACAGAACTTCTTGCAAATTCTAGGTCCGGAGGAGAATAGGGCAGGGGTGGGGAAGAATGGTTTTAAAAGATGTGCTAATTGTTTTAATATTCACTATCATTTATTTGGTAGATATGTAGTCTTTAAAACCATTTTCGTCATAAATAATCTCCCCCACTGAAGACTGAACCAGGCCCGTTGCTAACGTCAACCTTTGAATGAAATAGAAACATCTCTGGGCTGGGGGCTGTGATCTCATTCTTGATTGGAGGTCAAAGTCAAGAAACCAGCTTCTAATACTACTGCCTTGACTTCCACATGTCTGTTTTCTGAACCTGTAAAATGTGGATAATGCTATTTTCTCATCCCTGTCTTACAGGGAACAGTGATATAAAAAAGGCTCACACACGTTGACAGAAGCAAAAGCATTTGTAAATTGAGAAAGTCTGAACAGGGAAGTATCAAAGACGCAACATTAAGAAATGTAAATAACATCATGCACCGGTAGCAACTGTAGATTGAAAGGGTTGGCTAAGATGTTTCAAGATTTTATAAAACTGAATATCTAGGAAATAGCACCAGTCTGCAAGGCAGAAAACCGAGGACCTCGGTAACAATCTTTTCTCTAGCTGCTGAACAGGAATAATTGTATCTCAACAGGCAATTATGTTTTATACCTGTTAAGAACAGGGCCCCCAAATGAGATAATGGATTTATTCACATTCCCAGTTGGGGGTAGCATCAGCCCTACGCTCTCTGGCCCCAGTGCAGGGTTACAATGTATTAGAATAGCTCTGCTCAGTATCACGTCCAGTCTCTGCTCCTTCAGGCTTCCAATAAATGAGAGGAAAATGCCTTTGAATAGAGGAGGCTTGGACTAAATCGTAGATTCTTCGAAATAATTTTGTTTGTGAAGTGATAATATAATAAAACAGCTTGGGGCGACACTTTGCCTGCTATAACCCAGGCCCAAACCCAATCTCATTAGACCAATATATGCCCAGAGGTGCGTAAAAATGCACAGCAGTCTGGATAAGGATATTGAGGTTGCCCTGCCTATGAAACCCAAACCCATAACTCAGGAGGAAAACAATGAAGTCTGCGTGGAGACTTTGTACATAGCTGGCCTGTGACCAGCTCTGCAGCTCTGGGAGGCCAACGTTTTCCATGACCACGGTGCTTTATTCCCAGTATTCCCAGGACTTAGGTGAGAGGCCATCACTGGGAACCCACATTGCACGGCCACAGCCACTAGGCTGTGTGATGCTTGGACAAAAGGAAGAGGTGTTTGAGAAGAGTCGGGCCACAAAGGGGAGAGAGATACTTGGCTACTGGGTTGGCGTCTCTCACAGACTTTAAGTAATGTTGCGTTTACACTCTGGGAGGGAGGAGGGCGCATCTCTGAAATCCTGGTGAGCTCTAGAACTAGATTCTGCCCTAATCAGTTTAATGCCAGCTTAGCTCCAAAACCTTGATTTGCTATGCTGAACAGGTAGGACTTTATAAAGTGCACAGAGGCAAGGGTGCCCAGGCTGGCCAGCTTCACACATGACTGTCCTTAGAGCTAATGCAGAGGTTGGATAATACAGCACAAGGAATGGCCAAGGGCACGGGGGTCCCAGACCCTGTGAATACTGCTTTTCTGTGCAATAAGCAAACAGAGGCTGAGCTGAGAGGGAAGCCTGAGGCCTCTCGGTGCTGCCGAGACATGCAGGCCAGCTTTCCATCCGAGGGACAGGAGAGATCTCATCCCTGTTACAAACCTTCTTAGGACCTAGAAACACTTTGCCCAGGGCCTTCCCCTGTGCTCCCACAGCACCCTACACTCATGTCTATCCTAATATATCTACGCCGTGTCATCATCCTAGTGGCTGTCTCTCTACCAGGGGAATGTCATGGGTGGCTAGAGCACCTTCATCTCCAGCACCTAGCAGACTAGCTGGCACCCCACTGGGGTTCTCAAAATGTTCTTCAGAAAGATGCACTGTCTGGCTGGATGGCTTGCTGGATAGGTGGGTGGGCAGGTGGAGAGATGGGTGGATGGCTTAGAGGAAGCACGAGTGGATGGGTGGGATGAATGGATATATATAGATGCATGATTTTCTGCTTCTAGTGGTTTTTAGAGACTCCACTCGTGGAAGCAGAACTATTAACAAAAGTTCTGTTTTCTGAATACTTTTGGACACATAAGAAGCAGGAATCCCATAATTAGGATGTTCCCGTAAGAGTTCATGGCTACTTTGCACATCCAGAGGGGTTTTGATAGTTCAGAGAAGGCTCCAAACTTTGGATGTCAGAGTAAAGGAAACCATCAAGGTTCAACTACAGCTTGGTAGCAGAGACCTAAGCCAGCTTTGATTCTTTCCCAATTCCTGCATGTTTTGCTTCTGCCGGGAGGATTTTAGGAGAGGTCGCCCTAAAGACTATGCCACTTTTTCTTTCTTTCTTTCCAGTCTTACTGGGAAATACTGATTTACCCTCGTAGGGACTTGGCAGTGCTCCCAGTGCGCCCACTCCCGTGGATCTACAAAGTGCAGATGGCAAAGCGAGACTAAGGATGGGAAGAAAAACAAGAAGGAGGGGGGAGTCGCAACAGCCACAAAAAAGTCACACAGGAGGGCTCGTTTTTGTCCCTCTGGCTGAGAAATCACTCTAGATCCTGATCCTTTTCAGAATTGTTCCGAACTGATAGCTGCGCACACCTCAGGCAAGGGCTTGCAAAGCCACACTGTGGCAAATGCAGGGTTTCAGCTCCCGGTGTGATGAATGTGCTTGCTAAAATTACCTTGATCTCCATTACCCAGCTGAGAGATGTCAAAAGAGTAAGGCTTCGGGAATGAGTCCGCCCCCGTGGCTTAAAAGCTTGCCTGTCAATCTAATCTAAACAAACCCAGCTTTGCGCAGACGAGAGGGAAAGCTTTACCCCTGGAGGTGCAGCCATTGGCTGGGTCAATCTCCTTCCCGTCCACTTTAAATGCCCAGCGGCCTGGAACATTGACGTTTGTGGTCTCTTGGATGTTCACAATCTCAGGGGTTCTTGACCCGGGGAGGCTGAAGAAATTGGTGAGGTTTCCACCATTAAATCCTGCCTGAAGCACAAAGGGAAGAGAAGACTTTTGAGTACATGTAACTATCCCATTGATTAACCGGCCCAACTGCCTTATTGTCAGAATCCAGCACACTTGAAATCAAGAGCCAGCTTTTCCTGGAGTCACTGCAGCAATCATCCCAGCTGAGAAAGGCCCGTCCCATCCATCCCACACCCAGGGCAGGGTATCAGTGATGGGCACAGCAAGCCTCCTAGCCCACCTGCAAGATGAGATCTGCTTTTCTAGCTAAGAGCTACTGGCAGGATTCCCTCCCTCCGGGATGCTGAGTTGCCTAAGCAGAGAGTGCAACGATCAGAACACGCTGGAGGATGAAGTGGGGAGCCACGTACCTGCGCCATCACTCCACCCAGGCCCGTCAGGGGGTCCCCACCACTCGCTGTGCCTGTGGTCCAGTTGATTTCGTAATAATTGAAGAGCGTGAATGTGTAGGAGCCATCAGACACCAGGACAGCCTGGAAGGTGTTCACCTACAGGATGGGAATGTGTGGCCCCGTGAATGAAAGGGCACTGCCCCAGGGGTCCTCCCCTCGCCCTGCCCCCAGGCAGCGCTGCTCTGCAGCCCAAAGCTCTGCCTCCTCCCTGAATTCGTTCTCGCCTCCAGTGGGAAAAGCAAGACAAGTGGGACTGTGCAACTGAAAGAGAAATTGCCTGAGATAAACCCGGAGTCTGACTCAGCACCCGCTTCCATCCCTGCTTTGTACCAGACAGAGAATTTGGAGACCTGGCTGTGATAATTCAAGAGCACCTATAGATGGCAGCATGAGCATTAACTACAGGAAGCGTCCAGCCAGGCCTGAGATGTGGTCACCTGTTCCCTTAGCAGGGCTGTGGGCAGGGGTGGAGGGCCTGTGGGGAGAGTGAGCAGGTGAGCAGTTGTGTAGATTGAGCTCTCAGCCCTCCTGGAAAACAAGGCGGATCCTGACTCTAAGTCTCCCTTTTAAAAATGAAAGTTGGAAAGTGATTTTTACAAAGCACTTTGTCGGGTGAAATTCCTCCTCTAACTGAGTATTTATACATCATTTTATATCTGCAAAATCGCCAACAGTCCCATGTATTTCAGACCCACTCTAGGTTGGCTGATTTTTCCCCCCCATTCCCATCTTATGCCTAAGAGAACTGAGGACTAAGGGAAATGAGTTGCTAGAAATTTCTCAGTGACCTAACCACAGAAAATGGGATTAGTGGGCGGCACCTGTGGCTCAGTGGGTAGGTTTCCGGCCGCATATACTGAGGGTGGCAGGTTCAAGCCCGGCCCCAGCCAAACTGCAACAAAAAAATAGCCAGGCATTGTGGCGGGCACCTATAATCCCAGCTACTTGGGAGGCTGAGGCAAAGAGAATCGCATAAGCCCAAGAGTTAGAGGTTGTTGTGAGATGTGACATCACAGTGCTCTACCAAGGGTGACAAAGTGAGACTCTGTCTCTACAAAAAGAGAAAAGGAAAGAAAATGGGATTGGAGACAGAGCCCTCAGCCTCTCTTTCAGACACTGTCACCACATGCTGTCTTAATTTTAAACTTTTAAGGACAGAGATGTTACATAAATTCAAACCTTGCAACAAACAGTTTTCGGAAATAAATCCTGTTCTTTACATTTTCTCTTTGTTAGCCTCTTGTCTGATGTTTTCAGGAAATTAAGAAAAAAAAATACAAGTTAACAGGAGAGGCTGCTGTGACCTTTTCCTATTCAAACCTAGAGCTTTCCCAGCAGGGGAATGTTATCCTCCCTGGATAACATTCTGTTAGACAAGGAGGAAGACCCAAATCCTTATCCTGTGTAATCAAACTGGGGTAGAGGATCCTGGAAGCCCCAAATCTCCCTTTCTAGACAGTCCCAGGTAGGAAGCCAGGCATGAGTAAAGAAAAGTCCTTTTTGTAAAGAACTTGGTCTCCGAGCTCGGTGCCGGCCACTGCTGATGGCGTTTATGATACAGCTACTCTTCAGCAGAGGAGGAAAGTGGGACACAGAGATAAGTGGCCAATCAGATCAAAATTGCTCTAAGGTCACCAGCAGGGTTAGGGTCAAGGGACAGGTGCAAAATCAAGGTCACACAAAGACTAAAGCTAGACCCTCCTTCAGATCAGCCTTCTCCTTCAGGGATGAATTCCTTCTCCCAAAATGAAGCTGGAAATATCTTTGGTGCAAACAGGTCTTACGAGCAACCCATTTCCAACCCCAGAAGTCACCTCCAAACCAACTCGCCATCCCAGTGACGCCCCAGGGGCTGACTGCCACCCCGCACTACAGAATTTGACATTCATTCTAAGAGGCTTTTGGCTCTGTTTTAGTAAAATCATATTTTTCAATTCTTGTTAAAGCTTTCTTTGCTGGAGAGGACTCCCAAGGATATCTGGAGGATGGAGCCAAGGAAAGAAGAGCTCAGGATTCAGAGTCAGGAGTTAAAGGGTTGAACCACTCCGCTGCCTACTAGGAGGTTTGAAGCCCTTTTCCTGCCACTTGGGAAAGTTACTTGTCTCTCTGGGCCTGTCCCTCCCCTTGACAGTGGAGATAGTAATTGTCAGGGAACATTTCCGTCAGGGTTAAATGCTTTGCAAAAATAGCCTACCACAGTTTTTCTTCCTTGAACTAAACATGTCCCCTGGCCTGTTCCTTCCCTTTCTGATGGGCTTCCAGGAGATTTTCTGCCTTTAAAAGATCTCTCATGCCCCAGTGTTCAGATGGCCTGATCATAACGTGTCTCTCTGGGCAGAAGGGGAAAACCTGGAACCATGAGCTGCAAGAGGTGAGGCCAATTTCAAAGGCTGGGATGGATGGATACTTCTGCAGCCCTGGAGAACTAGATCTCTTTTTTTTTTTCTCCAAGGAGCTCAAAGCACTTAGATGCTACCTCATTCATCCTCATAGAAAGAGTTCTCACCTAGTTCTGAAATTTACTCCAACGTCTAAACCAGAAAGTATCTAAATTATCTTGCTGTTTTCTTTGCTGAGGGAAGTTTTTTTGAAAAAAAAAAATGGTGGTCAGCATTTGATGGGCATTTTTTTTTCCTTCCCCACTGACTAAAATGTATCGATTGCTGGCCTCCTGCATTCTCAGGCTGTAAGCTATGAGGTTTAAAGGACATAAAACATCACCTGAGGAGCCGTTAGCCATCCACAACATGACAGCGTGGAATGAATGCTGCTTTAGAGGTTATTTCTAGCCCATGCATCCCCTGTCCACACCTGTGCCTTTCTGTTCTTCAGAACCTCTTAGCGATAAAGTGCTTCTTGATGCTCTGGCCAGAAGATGCTAAAGCTCCGTGTGCGCGCTGTGTCACGGCTGTGGATTGCAAGCCCAGCACTTTTCCGCCCCTCTCTAACTCGGTAGTTTACTGTTCCACCCCTAAAACAACTGACTCATTACCAGGGAAATTGGAAAACAGATGGAATTGGAAATAATCCTGAGAATGTGGAGGGCAGATTTCTGAGTGTCTTTGCTTCCTAGAAATGATATGGTCGAAGATGTGTCTGCTACTTCAAAACTCCCCATTGCCAAAGTCACCCAAATAAGCTGCGGGCTTTTGTGCAAACTGCATTCTGTCCCTTTATGTAGAAAGTTGATTATCCCTACGCTAATGCCAGCGATAATCTTTCTTATTTGACTTTTATTTGACTGCTCATTTGGGATTTCAGAGCAGATGTTGAAACTTTATTCATGAAACGCTTTAACTGCCCACTCTAATTAACATCAAATATGAATACTTTCAACCCTGGTCACAATAAAAGAAAAATGTCATAACATGATAAAATGAGCCAGATCATTTGTGCCCAAATCCAGAACTCTATTTTTCTCTTCCAACCAGGTTTTAGAGGGGCAGGGGGAGAAAATTAAGGATGGAGAGAAGGATTTGTGCCTCTGGCAAAAGAAAAGGACCTTTGGGTTCCTACATGGGTCCCTTATCCTGTGATCATGTGGCCTGAAATAAGTCTCAATGCCTTAACCACTTTCCGGAAAAATAGGAATACTACTTACTGCAAGGCAACTGTGGAGGGGTGATTTTTAGACATTCATAATGATTTGTGATAAGAGTGACATATCTTCCGAATCTATCGCCCTCTGTTTCCTGGGAAGTGGGTAGCAAGACCCATTAGTTTAACTCAAGGGAACGGACATTCCTCCACTCTAACTATGAGACGCCTTCACAGTAGTGAAGATGGACAAGATTTAGATGCCAGGATATGAAGTGGAAAGTGGAAAATGTGAATTATTACAGGTGTGGTGCTGCTGCCTCCATAAAACGTCACTTCCTCCCACGTCACAATGAAAACCCAAGTGGCAGAGAAGGTTGCCATGTCTTTGAAGTACTTCCTGATGTCCTTGGTGGCTCTTTTCAAGATGACAGGGTCCATGGTCTCTCTGTAATAGATCTCGCCTCGAATTCCATTGTGCACATCGGCCCAAAATGGGGCAATGAAGGCCCTCCCATCTGTCAGAGGAAAAGACTCCGGCGTGAACTGGCTTACGAGCACATTGAAGGAGACGACTCCATTGTTATTAACCTACAAAAACAAGAGAGGTTTTGCACAGTGGATCTGAAACCATGACAACTTCGGAGTCGAAAACCAGGGCAGACATTCGCCTAATCCCATGAATGAAAACAACTTTTCAACTACTGACTTAGAACCCCCAAACACCAGTTTCCGTTGCTCAAACTAAGAGGTTCGTTTACTTCCAGACAAACTCATTGGTTTTCTCTCACTTTCAATTTACAGTCAGTTTTGTTTCTTATTAATAATCAGTTTCATTCTCATGTTCTCTATTCTGTCTCTATTTACACTCATCCAAAGCTGCTGGGCTGGGTGTATGTGTGTGAGTGGATGTGTGTGTGTGCTGGGTATGGGGTGGTGGGAGTGGGGTGTGTATGTGAGTGTGTACTATGCGTGTGTGCAGGTGTGTGTGTGCGCACGTTGGGCCAGCCAGGGAGTAATGTGAGTGATAAAGACAAAAAAGACAAAGTCATCGATGACAAATAAACAAGAAGATCAAACAAACAAGCACGGAAGCAAAGTTAAATAAAAAAATTGAGAAGCCCCAAGTTAGGCCTTGATTCCTATATTTTTTGAGACAGAGTCTCACTCTGTCATCCTGGGTAGAGTGCCACAGTGTCATCACAGCTCATGGCAACCTCAAACTCTAGGGTTCAAGTGATCCTCTTGCTTCTGCCTCCTGAGTAGCTGGCACTACAAGCACCTGCCACAATACCCGCCTAGTTTTTCTATTTTTAGTAGAGACAGGGTCTTGCTCTGGCTCAGGCTAGTCTTGAACTCTTGAGCTTATGCAATCCACAAGCCTTGTCCTCTCAGAGTGCTAGAATTACAGGAGTGAGCCACCATGCCCAGCCTTAGATTGCTATTTTTAACAAAGCAGATGTGTCAAGGAGAGGATGAGGCTGCTCTGGATAAGATGTGCAGAAGACCTCCACTGCTGTGTCACAACTACGCCTGTACTCAGAATACGGATAAGGCCGAGACCCACAGATGCCCACTTCCTTTCCAGCATGTGTGTGTATAGTTTGATAGCTTCTTCGTGCAATCGCTGCATAAAAATTGAGACATTAATACTTTACAATGTGTGAACAAGTAACTATCTTAGGGTGATTGCTTCATGATTTGTAACTGGCTTCGTAAACTTATTAAATAACAAAACCTTACAGCAAATCACAAACCCACATGTGTCCTCTGTTTACACAGGACCTGTAAACAGTTCAGCCTCTGCCTGTGTTAGCAGATCTGGGTGTTGATAGTGAATGGATTTCACCTCATAGCTTGCATGGCTTCAGCTGCAGAAATGCCTGTGACAGGACTACTTACAATTCTCAGACACAGAAAACCTGGAGATTACTTTCCTATATATTCTAATTGTTTGTGTGTTTCCTGTTAATCAATAACATTAGGTACATTAACAGTGACTCAGAGCCCAGAGGTAAGTTATCACTTGCTGGGCCAAGGGTACTTCTGTGTCTGGAAGCAAAGGTGTGGGGTTTGGAAAGGCAACTGAGGCTGAGCTCCAAGGGCATTCTGGCCTATTGGAAACTATTTCTTTGAATAATGGGAACAACCCCAAGGCTTGAAAAAGACTGTCCTACTCAAAGTGCTGGAAATGCAGGGAACAATTTACCCTTCAGCAAGTCTGCCTCAAACTAAGGAGCCCCCTTCTGCAAGGGCAAAAAAGAATTCTTCAGATTCTGTGTCCATACTGCCACGGAGGAGAAAGAAGAACGTAACTAAATACATTGATTCTAGAGGCCTGGGAGGCTCCAGAATGGAAGTCCGGCACTCCCTTCTCATCACCAAAATCAGGTCGACGCTTCCCCAAATTTACAACAAGCTGTTACAGACACAGACTGGGAAGGCCCTGCTGTGAGTAGAGCATGAAAGGCTTTTCAGGACGCCAGACTGAAGTGTTTGCTGGGAACAATGGGTGTAATTAAAATGGAGAGATGAGCAGAGGCAGCTGGCAACGGCTCACGCGGGTGTCATTCCTAGTCCATGGGTAAGGGCAGTGGTCTTCAAACTTTCATGGGCACTGGGCCCATTTGGAGGGCCCATTAAACCCAGATTATTGGGCTATCCCCCCAGAGCTTCTATTCAGGAGAGCTGCGGTGGGGCCTCAGAGGTGACATTGCTAATGAGTGCCCAGGTGATGCAGGAGCTCCAGCTTTGGGGACCACTGGCTTGCTGATGGAAGAGGAAACTATTTCTAATGGGAATCGGCCCTGACCTAGAAATCAAACATGGGAGGATATAGAGGTCCAAGATGCACAGATGGCTAGAGGTAGAGATGCTTAGAGCTTCATTCTTCCTGCAGGACAGGACCCAGACCAGGATAGGATGTGACATAATCTATACATGCCTCCCCCAATTCTTTATAGCCAAGGATAGGGACAGGTTGAGTACCCTGAATCTTCCTCTCCATGTGCACATCTCTATAACCCAAGAACACAGGTGGCCGGGAGAGCTCTGACTGTACCAGTACCATCTCTACCCTTGACAAAGGGGCCCTCTGGATTATCTACAGACCTAGTGATGGTGGCCAATTCTGCAAACAACTCTCATATAATAGTTGATTATCCCTCTACTGTGATCCGACTCTGCTCCAAATTGGTAGGAAGCCCAAGAACAGCAGATGCTTAAATATTTCCCACCCCCAGAAGGGAAAGAAAAATGATCGTTCTCCCATTGTGTTTCATTGCATCTTTTTATCTTGTTGAGTAGCAGAAATAATGTTCATGGCGTTGGGACCTCTGCTTCTCTTCTGTGTTTAATCACCCACAAAAGCAATTTATTGCCCTGTATACTCCTCGACTATGAACATTAAATATACCTTCGACTTTCTTAAGCATAAAACCTATCAGCTCATGAAATCTCAGAACTCATCATCGGGCTGCCAATAAATCCTCCTTTCTTGGAGCCCTAGAAGGTGGCTTTTCTCAATGACAAACACCAGGGACAGCCACAGAGCAACAGCTGGGCTGTGTCTCCACTTACGTAGACAGTGCGGTAAGGAACGCCAAAGAAGAAAACTGGGATGGCCAACTTAATCTCAGATGAGCTTCCGTCGTCTACTTTAGGGGTTTTGGTGTCATTCTGCCAGAATGGATACATGAGCTCCCTGGGCTGAGCTGTCAAGAGAGATGGTGGTTAGATAGAGGGCAGCTCCCTCTTCCATTTGGCCAGTGACTTCCCTCCTTCTTAACTAAGCCAGATTCTTTTGGTCAGGCTGCCGTGGCACTCCCCATTGACCTACCATGCACAGGACATCATCTTCTGCCGTGGTGAAAGAGGCAAATGGTAGTGACGCCATTTTGCTTGGGAGAAAGCACTGGGTGCTTCTTTCCTAGGCTTTTGTGACTCTTGGTGAGAGCAGTGGTTTACAACGGGCTGGAAGGTTGTGAAATTACCCCTGCCTGGAGCTCTCAGAGTACTGAGAGGCAGCCTCTAGGTAGGGCATGGTCATGGCTCCAAAGCGCCTTCTATCTCAAGAATTCCACTCTCCTATCTTTTTCTGAAAGGAGTTCCCGCCCTCCTGCTTTGGATAGAAGATTACAGATCCCAGAAGGAAGTAAACAACAGCTGGAACCAGGTCAAAAGTAGGAGGAGGGGGTTTGTAGTAATTGGTCTGTGAATGACCTTGATTGAGGGATGCCCCACAAGAAGCTCCATGTCCAGCTCCTGTTTACAAAAGATAGACAGAGGACCCTCTGGGGCAAGGCAGTTGGGTCCGGGAGAACTCTGGGGAGGGGTGCAGAGCTCTGACGTGTCCTGGTCACAAGTGAGAGTCATCACACAGACATACACAGCACTCTTCCTGGGGCAAGGTTACCTCCTCTGGCAGCCTGGGCTTGCTGCTCCAAAGTTTCCCATCCAAACTCTCGCGAGCTGTGGCCCAGTTTGGTGAGAGAACGAGACAAATTCCCCAGAGTCTACGTTACTGAGGATCAGATCCAAAGGCATCTGTGAAATAATCTACCTTTTGGGTGTCAGTTTTCTCTGCCTCTGTTCTTTCTTCTCTTGAATGAAACTAAAACAAGAGAACATCATGCTTTTTTTCTTTTTGGTTGTTTCTTTTCTTAAAAATTGTGGGTGGGTTCTCAGGGGCAGTGGGTGTCTAGACACAGTTCTTCAGGTACCTGCTCTGGCTACCAGGCGGACCCAGTCACCGCATTCACCTGTCGGGCCCTCTCCTTGGGAAGGTCCCACGCTGGGCACTGATGGGCTTGATAGACTGGCGAGCAACAGGCCACGGCCTGTCTTGCTCACTGCCTTTCAGTGAACACATAACAGCTTGTGCAAAAGAGCACAGGGGCCAGAAAACAGCCAGGCAGCCCCCACTTTCTGATTCTGGAGCAGGGCAAGAGGCGATCTGTGTGGAGGGGGAGCGCCTTTCTTGCCAAGGGCTAACATCAGAGGAGAGAGGGGAAACTAGTCTGGTTATCAGCGTAAAAGCATCATTTGCCCAAACCCCAAAAGTTTCTGAGACACAGACCAGATTGTTTCAGCCCTTAGGATGTGCTGCAGCTAGTTTAAACACAGGGGCGCTCAGCCAACCAGCTGTGTGTCATGTTACAATCTGTGGGTGGAAAAGGGTCTTCTAACACTGCTGTTTACGTGATAGTAAAAAATTCCAATTTCCTAGAAAGTAGGGTGTTTTAAAGAAAATCTCTATGACAGCACTACAGACAGTTACTTAATAAATCTGAAAGGTGATGAATTTTCCCAAATGAATGGTAACAAATTAAGTCACATCATAGTTTGTCCTTCACGGGGAACGTTTTAGGACTCAGGAGGGCTCAAATTCACACGGAATGATAACAATTTTTATGGAAAGATTAATTGGTATTTTGGGCAGCACTGGCTAATCTGTCTAGAGAATGGAAAACCTTGACCCCCTTGTGGAGGAGACAGAAGACAGTGGCCGTGGACAAAGACTGACCCTCACTTCTCTCTCTGCTCCAAAGGTGAGGCAAGTTCGCAGATTCTTCTCTTCACGAGGGAATCCTAATTAGTTTGTGATGTTTGAATAAAAAAGAAAGAACAGATAAACTGTTCAATTTTAAGAAGAATGCAAGACAAAAGAATATCTAACATTGGAAATACTCAATAAATATTGCACATAATCAAAAAGGGGTTGCTTTCTAAAAGGGAGTGGGTTGAAACTACAGTAGTTTCCACCTTAGAAGCTGTTATTATTTAAAAATATATAACTCCTGGCAGCACAGCGTATCCACAGTATCAAAGTTAGTAAAGGACAGAATATCACTACCCAAGCTCGTCCTAGGCTGAAAATTTCACAAGGACCATGTTTCCAAGATTTTTTTTCACCAAATAAAATGGACTTTCCTGGAGTGAGGGTGGGAGATGAAAGTCAGTGGGACTCTTTCATCACTGCAGGGTTCCCCACTCTCATTTACCTGTTTGAACTATATAAATGTACCCAACTCTGGAAAAATGTAAGAGCTGTCCATGGGCTTATTGATATGATCATTTCAGACTTGTGCCAGCTGAAACTAACAGACCAGCAAAATAAAGATGCTTTAGAATTGTAGCTGTGAAAGTTTAAAATCTGTGTATACTGTTCCATCTTTCTCGTCTAAACTCTAAAAACAACAGTAGAAAAACATGTCTATGACCCTTCGCTGACCTGGGGCAATGCTAGACAGGAGTCATCAGGAAGGGGATAATTATCTTATTTCACTTGCCATTTTAGATTTTTTGGCCATTAAAAAGTCAATGATACACAAGTCACCAACATCAATGCCACTGTAACTTCCTAATTTGGGGCTAAAGTATATTCTTTAAAAATCCACCATGAAGTACATGCTTTCGTAGGAATTTGTGATCAAATATGGGGGTGCATACACACCTATCCTATGCCCTTTGAATGAAAATATTTTGCATTATTTTAAAGGCTTACTCCACGAACACAGGGCAACCTGGTATATACGAATTGTGTTCACAGTTCAATAAGAAAAAGTGGGAATGTAAGTCAACATCACTTAAAGTTAATGAGTTTTACCCTTGACAATAGATTTTAATTTACATGTTCCTTGTTGTATCCGTAGACACATGTACACCTGCCCTTACAATTACGGTTCCAATGAAAGTGTCTCTTTATAAATTCAAGAGCATGCTAATCAAGAGCTTTATGGAATTCTGTAGTACTCACCTTGATGCTGCACAAGCGCGAAGATGAAAGAGACCCAAATTCTAAGTAATGATGAATAATTCATCCTGGAATTTTAAAAAGAAAAAGAAAAAAAAAATCCCCAGCTTGCCACAGTAAATAGAACACCAGGTGTGTTTGGTGGCAAGCCCCAAGACATATCACAACCATCATAGAACAAATTCACATCACAGCACCAACAGTTTTAAGTTGGGAAGAAATTCCCTGAGTGCTGGCAGGTCCTCCTAAGCTCAACACTTCATGAACAAATTAGACTGCCAGAAGAAGCCAGTTTGGAAGTGTAATGAGATCATTCAAATTGTCAGGTAATTATATAGAATCAATGAGGCCAGCAATGAGTAAAGGAAAAGCTATCTACTCGGCATCTAATAAAGCTGAAAAATAGGACCCGGCTCTAACATTATGGGTCCTGGGTTGTACCTCTAGAACAGAAACCAGGTCCTCTATGAGACCTGGCTTTCTTAATTTTCTCAAAGGAAAATTTTCCATCAGAATCAAAGGAAGGCGATTAAAACACAATGTGTTTCTACGAGGTAGGAGAGTTCCCCATCCCCTTCTCCATAGAATCCATCATTTTGAAGTACTGGCCAGATTCACGGGCAGTCTAGGACTCTGTCTGCTGACTTTTCATAGTGTCATGAATGACAGATACATTGGTAATAAAGAGGAAGCACTCCAGTATTGCTCCTTGGAATTATAACAAAAATAGAATCCAGTGCACAAGCAAGGCATTAGTTCCAGCAAGTTAGTTAAAGAAGAAACATTGCAAAAATAGACTTGAAACGTTAGTTTATGATCAGTTGAGCTGGTTGCTTTACCCTTCGACAGGAGGATGTTTGGTCGTGCCATCCTGCAAAGCTGTGATGTGAGGACAGACGCAAGCTCAAGTCAGACAGAAGAACCAAATCGTATGGCTAGACCGTGAAGTTTCCTCCTGACATTGTTCTTAAAAATCAAAACCCTTGTTCAGTGTGACCCCTGGGTGAAGGGGTCAACTACAACTTGAACTTCGCCTTAGCACTGAAAACAATGTAACCGAAACATTTGTACCCTTATATTAATTTGAAATAAAAAAGAACCAAGAAGAAAAACCCTCTTTTTATCATTCAAAATTATCACAAGTCTTTGGCCAAACAGTCGGAGAAAGGCAATGAACTTCTTCTGTGAGATTTTTAAATCTGTAATTGTCAAGTTTACACATTGACATTTCAAACACATATTAAATATTAGTCAGTTTTGCTGAAAATGGTAAAAATACTTTACTAGAGATCGCCCACAGCTTTAGTGGAGGCGCAAGCTTGAGCCCAGGGAAACTGTTCCGAGAGCAGCAGTAGGAAAGATCCATTTAGATATTTGTATTTATGAAAAAAGTCACTGACCTGTTCTGTAGAGACTGGAGAAACTGAGTCAGAAAGAGTAAGTCAAACCTTGGCAGACCAGGAAAAATTAGGTAAAACAGGAATTCATGTCAACTCTCCTCAACTTGCTGCCAATTATTTCTGATTCCTGAAATGACGGCTGAATCCCGCACTCTTAAAACCAAAAATTAAGTTCGTGCCTGTGCCAGAGTTAGGTAAGTGTTGAGTTGCAATCAAGTTTTTTCTATTGATTAAGGAAAAGTAAATCTAAAAGATCAGTTTCAGGATTGCGTAGAGAGGTTCTTTTCCTGAAAAACTAGACCTTTTTTTCCCCCCTAAAAAAAAAAAAGTAGATTCAGATGGAAATGTCAGGTACTTGGAGCTGAAACTTTGGTCCCTTTCTGATCAGAATCACTTTGCACTGAAAACACAAAAGAACCCCTCCCCCACCTTTGTACCCAAAAGAAGGCAACTGTATAACGTTACAGAATTAGCATCCACCGGCATGGGATTAAAACCCCAAACAAAGCTGCTGCCTCTAACATTTAAATAAAGTTGGTTTTCTGCTAAAGTCTTTTTTTGTTTCTCTGGTTTTGAGCAGTCGCCACAAATCGGCTGTCCTCTGTTTTTTTCTCAGGTATGCACGAAGCACTTAAAGCAACTTTTCCAAACTTTTCCACGTTCCATCCCTTCTTTTCTCTCCAATACACCACACCCGCTGTGCAGGTGAGAGGCTGGGGCACCTTTCAAATAAACCCAAGGAGGCGTGAGCTTTCCTAGGGGAAAACCCAAACTTTGCCCTGGAAACCTCGCCTGATGCCCAGTGAGGGTCATCATCGGAGGGAGCAGGGAAAGACAGGCCCCTGGTGATAAAAGTTTGCTGTAAGTAAATAATCTAAAAGGCATTGTGAAGGAGGGAGAGAACAAAACCCGCCGTGCTTGCTGCTCTGAGCATCTGGTAAATGTGGAATGAGAAAAACTGGCTGAGGCATAAGCTAAATCTCCTGTTCAAAACGTTTAAAATGAAATTTATTACGGAGGAAGTAATTCGAGGTAGCACAGAGAAACTCTTTTGTAAATCAATGAGAATTTTAAAATTACTCCGCATTTTCTCCAGCCAGACATTTCAATGCTGACTGTACAAAAGAGATGGAATTCTAGGTTTAAGGGAGCTGTCCTAAAATGGACAAGAGTGTTTGGGGAACTAATTTCTTTAGCTTAAATGACCCAGTATCTTTTCCAAAAATCTGGGTTAGTTTAACAGTTTTCACACATTTGTTTATTGTCTCTGGTGTTATGACTCCCTGGACATATTTACTTACAGATGTTGAATGACTATTCCCCGCCCCCCCCCAAAGGCACATATTTATATAACAGAAAATCTTGTTTTGGGGGTGCCTGTTTAAAATAAAATTAAGCTCAAATCCAAGATTCACCTACAGAAGCATTCTCATCGCCCAGGCTTTACTAAAATGTGAGTCTGCGATCAGCCTAAATGTTTTGAAGCAATAGTTGGCTCTCCTTTACAACCGGCTAGTGGCATACTAATTGCTTTCGTTTTTTCTTTTCATGCATGCACTCAAGGATATTTATATCTCAGCCCTTTTGACCCAGTTTAGATGCTTCTTCCTTCTGGTGGGAGGACTGCTACTGGGCTCAATGCCATCTGGGCATAACCAGATACACAAGATGGTGGCATTAATGAATCAGAATGCCTCTGAGACTCCAGCTGGGAGCAAGAGAGACTCTTGGGGAGAGACTGATCTGGCTGATCACTTGTTGGGCTGAGAACCTGGTCGGTGAGTTTACGTTCTGGGTATTTGCTCAGTGGTCACAGCTGGACAAATAACAACAAAAAAATTTCTTTTCCTGCTGAGTCAGCAGAAGGACTTATTTTGTTGAAAAGATAAGACGGACAAAGATTCCTAACAAGATTTAAACTGGGGGAGTTGTGGGGTGGCTTGGAGGTAGTTCCCCAAGATTTTTATGCTCTATAAAGCTGGCATAGATCCATGTAGCTTTTTTAGGCCAGAGGAAAGACAGCTCAAACAGAACAAAAGTACATATAATTCCCCCCAAACAAGGAGAATGGGTCTTCTGCACGGAATGTTTTTTGTTCGGCTTTGTTTTCTTAAGTTTCTTACACCTTGTCTATACAAAAGATTGTCAGATTGGATCTAGGTTGAAATGATGCAGTTATTGGCTGTGACAGATGTGAGGTGCACCACTCAGATCTTCCTGCAAGAAAGATGTGAGACTGTGGGTGGCCAACAGCCTCCAGCTCTTAGTGCCTGCAGGCTCAGCAGGCATCATGAATGCCTGGGCAAGGTGGGGGTCCCTGGCACTTTCCACCCAAAGCAGGACTTCTCTAAGGGGCTGTCTGATCTGAGAGCCCTGTTGAGTGACAGAACTCAGTCAGGTGCTCAAGTGAGGCAGCTCTATTATGCCCCAATTAGGGCCTAGCTGGGAAAACTGTGTAGTTTACACATGTATGTACTTATATGTATGTAGCTTATTATATATACATGTACACAAATACATACATATGTATTTTTATTTATATGTATTTGAGATATTTAAGTAGATGCCTCCAAAGCTTGTTTTTTTTTTTAGAGACAGCCTCACTCTGGGTAGAGTGCTGTGGCTTCATAACTCACAGCAACTTCAATCTCTTGAGCTTAAGCAATCCTCTTACCTCAGTGTCCCAAATAGCTGGAACTATAGGCATCTGCCACAACACCGGTATCGCTTTTGCTTAGGCTGAACTTGAACTCTTGTGAGCTCAAGTATTCCATGCACCTCAGCCTCCCAATGTGCTAGGATTACAGGCATGAGACATTGTCAGTGGCCTTGAAGATTTAATTCTTAAAACTTCTGAGTCTTCAGACACATCCTACTCCATGCCATGTAAGAGCTAAAATTTTTCCCAGCAAAGGAAGACAACAGAGAGGACCTTTCCCTCAGGGCAATAGGTGGCCCCTCAAAAGCCTCTTCTCCTGATGGCTAGGCCTACAATCAGGGCTAAGTTGCAGCACAACCCAGTCAGTGGCATTGTGGGCCTGCTAAGAGAAGATAAGGACCATGCCCCAAAGGAGCTGCAAGGTCTAGCCACACATATGGCATGGGTAGGGAGGAGGGGAAGACCTAGGGGACTGGGTTCTGAAGGTGCTCAGTCATGGAGATGGGACCATAAGATAGAACAGGAGGAGTTTATTGACCTAGGGGAACTCTCTAGAGATACAGGCTTTAACACCGTCCCAAGAACTCTGGGGATGGTGCAAACTTGCTCCTGGCAGCCTAGAGGAAGTAATGGCTCACACTGAGCAAGGCTGAAATGTCTGAATTACTATAGCAGATGGCAGAAGAAAGGACTGAAGATTGAGGGATGGGAGCACGCTGGAGAGATATGTGAGCCTGCTAGATCCACCAGACAGTCATATTCCATAGAAGGCCCAGAGACCAGACACGCCGTCCTGCAAAAGCAGCAGGAACGTGCTGGTGAGTAAAGCACCAGCATCACCAGGAAGCTGTAACGATGCCCCTCTGCCTGCCAGGGCTCCTATCAGGAACGATGGTTATAGAGTTTGGCTCCCTGACAGCAATGGGGATGACAGGCCCCTGAAGCAATAGAGGCCAAGTGACATCACTCAGCTGCCTGCAGCCAGAATGGGTCATAATTTCATAATGACCAGTAGGGGCAGTCAAGGGGACTGACCCATGTAGAGCTATGAACATGGCTAATAAAGCATGGCATCCGAGGGCAAAGTGGATGGGCAGACAGCAAGGGTGTTGCTTACACACAAAAAAAACAGAGCAAGGATGGTTGAGAAAGGGCAGTTGCCCCAATCAAAAATCATGATCCCTGCTCAGTTTCTAGATATAAGTCAATTTTCAAATCTGGAACCTAAAGACTAAAAAGGTAGCCAGACCCCACACCACCTTGGCAAGTGTGTATGGTAAGGCTCTCTCCCAGGGAGCCCTTCGGCCATATACTCAAGTGACTGTAGACTTGGGGAAAGGGAATGTCTAGACCTTTTGAGGACTGTTGGTCAAGGGATTTGAGTTAATAATGATACTCAAAGACCCTGCTAAAAGGGGAACACATAGAGCCCAAAGAATGAAAGGAATCATGGCCAGATCTGACATACAGTGAGCCCACAGGGACTGTACACTCACCTGGAAGTCTTTCTCCCAGCCCCAACATACAATTGGGATTGATGTATGACATACTGGGTTCTTAATCTGCAGAGTAAGAACTGTCGTAGTAAGAAGGCAAGTGGAAAACTCAGCAATTGTTCCTCCCCACAAAAGAAGACTGCATCCAGAGGGGGGCATGGTAAGATTAGTGACACTCCTAGGAAGGGGTGGCAGACTCTATCATACCTACATTTAACTGGCCATGATGGACCCTGGGGAATGGCAGTGGACACTATGCCAAGTTCAACCAAGTAGTCATTCCAGTTGCACCTGCTGTGCTAATGTAGTATCTTTGCTAGAGCCAATTAACATAGTTTCCAATATATATGGCAAGTAGTCATTCGCTTGGCAAATGCACTTTTGTCCTATTTGAATTAGGACTGAGTATCAGAAATAGCTCACGTCATATGGAACAGACAACA